CTATAGTTTTCTGGGTTAAATTCTTATTTTCACTTTGAAAATTTCTTTTCAGCTGGAAAAATGTTTTAAATTATAGCCATTAAAAAAAATTACTCCTAGCAAGCAAAAATACTGTGGAAAACCTGTAATTTAGACAAGTACCTACATTTTATTTGCTCTGTGCTGCTGAAATTTAGAATCTCTTCCCATTTACAGTTTACTTTTCACAGAACATTATTAACTTTTTGGCTTCATACATGATCTTCTGTCAGATGCTTTTGATTTGTAATTTAGCAAAGTATAATAAACAGTGCAAAAGTCATGAATTTTCCTCTGCATCCTGAGCTCTGTGGTAGGGAAAATGTGATAAAATGTGTACCTTAAGTCTTGTTTGATGATCTCTCAAAGCAAGTTTGCCTTCTGGAAATAATTTCTGGGGTTGAAGAGCATGGTATTAACAGATTTAATGTGGCTATTCAATGGATTGGTGGAGTACTATGTGAGGTTTAACAAAATGAGAGAGACAAATTGAACATCAACAAAACCTACATCTGTGAAGAATTATAAATTTAATTAGAAAAAAGGGCAAACTTAAAAGACCTCATTAACTAATCAGAATTTGATGTTACTGATTTAAGATTCTTAAATGGATGAATTTTAAGTAGCTTTGCTATCATTGTCCTTTTTTTCTCACCATGTACTGAATAGTACCCAATCTGCAGTCTGTATTAAGGAGAAAGATGTGAATGTTGCTGACAAAAATCAAATTATACAGAGTAATGTTTTTGAAGTCTTAAGAAGAACATGTATGCCATTTAGCCTATAAGGCATTTTTAGTTTAAGCAGAACACTGAGTATAAAGGGGGTGTGACAGCTCTTTTTTTTTTTTTTTTAATGTGACCCATTTCTGTCTGGATAAGGCCAGGCATTTTAGTTTTGCCCCCTACTTTTTATTTGATATGTGAGTTATGTTGCCAAACTGCAATTATCCAGAAACCTGTTGACAAAATGGAAATATATGAGAGAAAGGAAAAGCACACACCACCCAGAAATGTTTTTATTCTATGAATTAACTGGTCGTCATAAGTGTGGTTCCTTACTACGTTGTAATTTTGTACTGCACATAAAAAACTGAAAGCATGTGAAGTGTAGCATTTTGTAAACTGTAACTAATTTCAGTCACATCTGTGTCTAATTGTTGTCTGCATTCGCATTCTTGAGAGTAGATTTATTTTTCCTGGACCACTCTGTGGGTTCAGCTGACCAGCCTAAGTGAGGATTAGTTGTTTTAAAGTTATTTTGATTAAAGAGTCATTTTTAAATTTGGTAACGTGCAACACATGGTTTAAATAATCCTTGAGACACAAAGGAATATATCTAAAGTATGTCTAATGAAAATGAAAATTGTGGATATGAACTTTCACAAATCACAGAGTGTTGGAGGACATTTAAGGTACATATTTAATTCATTGTGAATGAGCTGGTTATTTTTTTGCCCCGGCAAAAAAAAAAAAAAAAGAAAACCTTCAAGCCAAGCAAAAAAAAGAAAAAGGAAAAAAGGCCAAAAATGTATATATTTTCAAATGTACAGAAGTTGCTATTTTTGTAAAAATTTGGTACTTAAAATAGTCAGAATGACATTTTTTTAAAATTTGAATCAAGTATGAATAATTGTGCAGTTCATGTTGGAAAATATCGGTTAGTTAAAAAATCCATTTGAAAAAGAAAGTTTTTTCTATTATAAAAGATGGGTTTTTTAAGATCCTGTGCAAGAGGGAGTGAAGATAGCTCTGTAGGCAAACTTAGTTCTCACCTATAATTTTTTCCAGGTGTTTAGAAGTAACAGCAGAAGCATATCCTAAGGCACTCTGCAGCAGTTTCTGGGGTAAAGAACTAAGGGGGAAAAAAATTCTTAAACCAAAATGCACAGTTTTGACTCTATCTGCTAGTCTAGTTTGATTTGGCATGCAACGATGTATTGAAAAGCGTGTTATGCAGTACTTTAAGTACCCAGTTATAAAAAGATTGATGTTCTTCAGCATGCATTATTGCATGCTTCTTGACATCATTTGTAATGTTCTTCCTTGCCTGACTGCCCCTAGCAGTTGTTTACTCTTGCTAGTAGTAATTCTGTCTGTGATTAAAAATAACAAAAAAACCACCCTACAGACACATAAGTAGGATTTGCTCGGATGATTTTTATGGCACTTAAAATGCCTCATGTCCTATGTCTTAGCTCTGTGATCATTTAAGAGATGTCAGTTCAGGTTGAATGGAAACGCACAAGAAAGATCCTCACTGCAGACATTAAGAGGATATATACCTTGCCCAGAGAAGCTTTTAAGCTAACAGTGTCTAGGAGTGTATTTCCACCTGAATTTTATCACCTGAGAATTGTTACTGCCTAGAGTTTGTTAGTAAAGCACCAGCGTTTTTCTGGTGGAATATGAAAACTATTACTCACCTGAGTTATAAAAGGAACCACTTGAATGAACTAAAAAATTATTGGTGGCCTTTCCAGTGGAAAAAGATTCCTTTTCTTCATGAGCAACCTCAGAGGTAAATTCTACAGCTTCCTCCCATTTATTTTATCAGAAATCTCATTAGCACCTGTAATTTTTAGAAGTAAGACTACGCAATAACTTGTGGAGCTTTTATTTTAATTTGACCTGGCTGGAGATGGGCTTCTTTTAGAGGTGGTTCTGTAAGGCTGTGTGCTATATAGTGAAGGTCTTTACCATAGGTAGAATTGTTCCTTGTTATTCTCTACCTCTCCTCCCCGAAGAATACCATCAGCATCTCCAGCTTGCCTTTGGGGTGAGCTTGGCTTTTGGGTTCCCTGTGGGCCAGGCACGGAGGAAGGATGGCGAAGAGCAAAGGGAGAAGAAAACCAGTATGATGAGGGCAAGAATGTGCCAGGACCGAAGGAGAAGGGAGGGATGAGAGGAGGCGAGGATGCTGAGGGGCTCGGGCAGAGCAGCTGGCGCTGCCCTCGGCGGGCGGCGCGCCGGGGTTACCTTTGCGGGCAGGGCAGAGCCGGGCAGAGCCGAGCAGAGCCGAGCAGAGCCGAGCCGGGCCGGGCCGAGCCGGGCCGGGGGAGGAGTGAGCCCTCCGCAGCTGTCACGGGCCCCTGATGAATCACTATCCCGTCACTTGGCTGCCGGCCCCTGGCGCGGGAGGAGGGAGAGAGACCTGCCGGGGAAACAACAGTTGAGCCTTCAATTTAAAGACAATATGCCTTTCAGGGCCACCGCACCCTCCTCCTCTCCCTTTGGATTTAAAGGACAGAATTGTCATCCATAGTGATATCCTTTCTTTAAGTTAAGGCCTCATAGTAAACTGGAGTAATAGAAGCTTCTGTTTGTTTCCCTGGTTTACAGGTGCAGAAGTCCCAAACCAGTTCAGATGTTGCTGTTTCCTCAAGCTGCAGGTAAGAATTTGACCAAAAATTGTTAATTTTTTGCAAGCCTTCTATTGTTGGGGAATTTTTTAAACTTCAAGAGATAAGTAAAATATTTATTCTTGTTTCTCACATTAAGCAGACGAGTAAGTGCTGGAGCCTAGCCTTTACGTGTGTGCAACCGAGTCTGTAAACCGTGAGCACATAACTTTTCCACTGAATTGTTAGAGTTTGTATTTCATGTAGGCGTTTTGAACTCATTGCAGTATCATCCTCTTTTTGTGTAGAAGGTTTCAGGTAAAGAAATATTAAATGAAGAATCTATATTTAGAATCTGTGGTAAAATTTCAGTTAACATACAAAAGCTTCATACCTGAAATTACGCTCAGAATATTTATACCATTACTGTGGGAGTAATTTTATATATAATTTTAATAGTCTTTAAAAAACCTAAGCATTTCTTTTAAACTGAAAAATTACTAGTTCAAATGCCTTGGAGGCACAGTAACCTATGAAGTTTCTATTGGGAGCAATTACTTAGAAATGAGTACATCAAATAACAGTATCAAAAGTTTTAGGTATAAAGGAACAGAAGGATAGTGAACTTCAGTCATAAGCCCTAACACCAGCTAAGGGATATGTCATAGTGATGATGACTATTGGTCTGTTATTATAGGGCTATTGAAAGCACAAATCTTAAATATTCAGCTGCTTTTGTGCCGCTTATAGGTTTAATTTTTGCTTTAGATGGGAATTGCTGTTTTCTCCTTTTGACTAAGCGACAGCTGCTGAGGTACAGCCGAGTGCTAAGGCACACTAACGCCTCTATGGACTTGCTGTATGTCGGTCAGATCCCTTTCCAATTGGGCACGCTTTATGTAATCCACAAAGCAAACAAGTGAGCAGACATAATAATGTTTTAATGCTGCATTTGTTTCAAAGGAAACAGAGGAACAATTAAGTAGTTTGCCAGAGTAAACACATACATCAGGAATATCTCATTCCCTGTCAGTAGATGATAGCTTTCCACAATTGCTTCAAGTGTTTTATTTGTTTTGGAGGCCCATTATATTGCCACTGAGTGGTAAATCTTGAAGAAGCAGAGTGTTAATTTGTTTTAAGCGAATATATGTCTTCATATGTTGGTGGTTCCATCTTTGTACATATTTTAAAAATATGAGATTACATCAATTTTGAAAGCGCCGTGCTTGGATCTAAGTTTTATTTAGTTACAAGCTGCGAAAATAATTCCGGTAGCTGGCCACTCATGTGTGGGGCTACAACATGAGTTAAGCACGGGAAAAGATCAAGTAGGGAAAAGTAGTTAATTTTTTACTAAGTGTTTCTGGGATGTTGATAAATAGCAGGCTGCATCTCATAAAGGCAGTTTCTCTGTAATTCATGTTGACTTATGTCACTAAAACAAGTTGCATCTTGTTTTCAGGTCTATGGAAATGCAGGATCTAGCCAGCCCACACAGACGACTAAGTGGTAGTAGTGAATCCCCCAGTGGTCCAAAACTTGATAACTCACATATAAATAATAATTCCATGACACCCAATGGCACAGAAGGTGAGCCAGACTTTTTTTTCCCATTTTTTTTAAATTTCTTTTTTCTCCTTTTTTGCTTTGGTGTTCTTACATAATGTATTACTGTTTTAGGTGTTCTGTGTTTATTCATATGGTATATAAAGGCAATGCTCAATGTTTATCAGTAGTTACTATTATCAAGTTTCAGCAATAGTTTTCATGACAGGTTTTTGTTTCTTTCATGGAGTTAGAATGGACTAAGCAGGTAGTATGAGCAGAGCTTAAATTAAAAAAAAAAAACAAGTCCAGAAACGGAAAAGGAAGTTTAATGATGAGAGAAAAGTAGTTGTTTACAATTGCCATAGTACAAAATGTAATTTTTCAGTCTTTTTTTACTATTTTGGTATTTCTTTATGTTCTCACTTTTTTTGTAACCTCCTAAGGCTTTGAGAATTTTGTCAAATAGGCTAATAAAACTAAGTGTTGAAAGTTCCTCAGGCTAGCTTGCTGCTCGGATGGAGTGGCCAAAATTCAAACAGGTGTAGTAATTCAATGGAGTAAACTGATACCTATTTCTCAAGAAGCAGTCAGGCAGTTGATAAGTTATGTTTGTTCTCAGTAGAATACTAACAACAGAACAACCTAACAGCTTTGCCAGTAATATAATACATCTATAATACATATAATAATACATATAATGAAATACAGAAGGGTTTGTGCAACAAGCAGCAAAAAATGCTCTTTCCTGTAGCATTTCTGTGTCAATAGTGGGAAAGATCATACATGATATTTAACTGGCTGTGTGAACAGAGACTTAATACATTACTAGAAAAGACAGTCATGGAGATTCAGTATTCAGGTCTTCAGTATAAATGCATAGGTAAACTGCTACAACTGTTGTAGCAAAGATATGCCTTTTTTTCCTAAGGACTGGGTTGTAGTAATGCTGTCAAACTCTTCAGGATTATGGACATGGATCACATTTTTTCAGGAAAGGCACATGTCAGTCAAACAGATGTTGCCCCCCCCTCAATTCCCCAAATATTTTTGTTATTCATTGTAATTGGAGTCCTTGGTAGTGGGGACAGTTTATAGGTTATCAGATTAACAGGGACTTGTGCCAGGCTTGTGTGTAATTTACTTTTTGCTATTGCTGTAAAAGTATTGCTTCAATCAAATATTAAGTACTTTGGAAAAAAAAAAAAAACAAAAAAACCAAAAAACTTTTTAAAGGATAAATAAAGTATTTACTGTGCTCATGGAGTTTAAGCATGAAAATATTTTCTGTCCGTAAATGAATCTTCTTCCTTTAAAATAGACAAGTATGTTATTCTATTTTTATATCATATTAACAAGTATATACCACTTTTGATACAGAATAAAATTGCCCTTTCAAATTAAAATTCCTCTAGCTCACAGAAGCCTTTATTGTAAACTTCATGAGCTTTTCTACTTTCTATATAACTTGAAGGTTCTTCATATAAAAAAAAAATAGAGGGTGTTCCTTGAAACACTGAAAGATGTTCATCATCTGACTTGAGTTTTTGTTTGACATGTAGTGCTGTGTGCATCCACTTTGAGAAATGCTTAATATTTCTTCATCAGGAAATTAGGTATATGCTATATCTATTAATGCACTGACCTCAGGTGGAAAATAATTTTGGAAATAATATCTCAGCTTCTAGGTAGGTATCAGAGTTTATTGAAGGAAGTCAATTAAACCATGGTAACTTATTTGTCTGACATTAGAACTTTCCAGTTTAAAAGAATATTGAGTGAATTCTACCCAGAAAGCAGCTCTAACTTGCAATAGATGTTTGCCTCCTGAGATAAAGCCAAACGGTTTTCTTTTGTTTGCCCTTTTCCCTCAGGTGACATGACCCTCCTCAGCACTGCAGACTGGTTGCTCAGCCCTAGCACACAGAGCCCCACAGGTTTGGGTGCTGCAGTGGGCGCAGCAGGCGTGGGCACTCAGCATGCAATTTCGGATGTTGTTCCAAAAGTGTCCTGAGAGACAGCTTGTGCTTGGCGGTTCTGCTCTAAGCTCTCTAATTTGAAAAGTCCTGTCTCTGATTGCTCTTAAGTGACAAAGAAGGAAAAGTTTTTAAAAAAAACTAGCAGAATAATTTATTTCTGAATGAGATGTGTGCCAAGAGACAAAATTTACAAGTGAAGCAGATGCCTAAGATTCTGAAGGTGGAATTTCTACTGCTAATCTGTTTTCTCTTGAGAAAAGGTTTTGTTAGGATCCTTGAGCTGCTAAAGAGACTTAAGAAGGAGTGGAGTGAATGAAACAAAAGTTTCATTTTTTTTTTAATGAAGGATGAAGTAAAATTATTTTTTCTGGGATTCTTGAGGCAGAATCCTGCTGAGACATAAGTGGCTGATTGTAAGGATGTGGTTGTAAGGGCTTGCTGAACACCTCTTTCTAGATGCTGCAGTCTGGTTTGCTTGTTTGTTGCACATGGAGTGGGGATGTGGGTTGCTGAATCTTCACATGTCAAATGTAATATTTGAAACCAGCTTCTGGTCTACCATGGACACATTCTCACTAACATGAAATATCCCTCCTTCTCTATCATAAGAGGTCTTCATGTGGCCAAGAAGCTGGGCCTCTAGGTATTTGCATGTTATAAATATCTTGTAAAGATATGTTAAATTTGATTTGACTATGGGTGTGATTTTGACAGGTTTCCATACCCTGAAGCACAGGATATGTTCACTAAATGAGGGGAGGGGAAGAAGAAAGAAGAAAGAAAAAAAAAATACATGTCCCAAAGTGAAATGGCTGCATTTCAAACAAATGTTCATTAATTCCTCTAAGGCATATTTTCAGACTTGTCTTCTATTGATGTTTTTCTGCAAGAGGATGTGGTTGGAAGATAGCTCACTTTGTTAGCTAATATTTTTAGCTTCACACTTAGCTGAAAGTTTTCAAAGCACTGAATGGGGATTTAGTTGTACGATTGAGTCTGAATTTAATCTCTACATGCAGCTTATATATAATAACTCTTTGTGTGCTTAATCTCACCTTGAGAGAGTAAAATTCTTCTCTTGGCCAGGCAGCATGGTCTTCACTGATGAGGAAGTAACAAGGAAATTACAGACCTTGACCAGACAGAAATTTCCCAGGATCAAATGCAGAGGACTAAAATGTCTGGCTAAAGGCACCCAGAAAAATCAGGCCTAGTGTGCCAAGGTGAT